GCTCAATAAACATTTCCTGAATTAACAACAAACCTCTAAAATTCTAAAAATTTAAAATTTAAAAATTCTAAAAATTTAAAAATTTCAGTCTGTCTTTTTGCTTCACATTAACCTTTCACACTCCCATTTTCTCCCAGTCAGAACATCCCCTTCCAGGTTTTCGGCTACTGATCCAGCCTAGAATCCAGTTCATTTCAGTCCCAACCTCAGTGTCATTAATTTTCTCAACCAACTGTCCTTTGTATATCTCTACCAAACAGAATCAGCAAAGCAGTGGATAACAACCAAACTCAAATTGAACCAAGGCTTGAACACCAACTGTTCATTTTTAAAACTAGAAGGGTAACAATAATAAAGGTTAGGGAAACAGTTTCTTCAGATATTATCAAACTAATCACTATTGGAGAAAAACAACCATGCAAATTGGTAACCATTACAAATCCAAAATCTATAACCTCAAGCAGTTTCTCAATACTTTGTTAGTTTCTTAGTCATGTATCTGTCTGCCTCTTCCCCCAATGCCCTTGTAAAATTATTATAAACTCCCATACTCTTTTTAAGAACCTTCATTCCTTGGTAACCAAAAATGAACACGTCAACTCCTTCTCTTTCATGCCCCATCAGTTTCAAACTTATTTACACTGCCATCCATCTTTACTTCCCTCTTTTCTGATCATTGCTAAGACAACTTCCTGCTCGGGCCAATTTTTTTTATCTATGCCATGCAACCCATCCTCCCCTTTCTGCCTCTAAATCATTGCTTCCACCAATCACATTGGTCTCTGTCTGTCTCCATCTATCTGTCTGTCTCTATTCCTCCTCTGAAATTCTTCCTCTCCATTGGTGGGATTTCTAATCCCACAAGCAGGCCAAATACCCTTGTAATTAAAAAAACAAACTTCTCTAATCTTCTTTTCTATATTTTCCTTCAGAGTCCTTTGTTTACAACACTGTATTCTTCTCAATTAGTTACCCTTTTAGCTACAATCTAGCTACAATTCACTTTTCAACCCCCTGAATACATTACAATGTAGCCAACTTCTCTAGCTACAACTACAGTTAAAACTCCTTAATCTCACATCCCAGAGATATTATGTACCCCTTATCTTACTTGTCCTTTACAAGGCAGGATATTTGGGGGGGTTGTAGTTCTGAAGCAGAGTTTCACTATGGAGTTCAGGCTGGCCTTGAACGCACTATGTGATACAGGCTGGCCTCTAGCCTCAGCCTCCCAAGTGTTTAGGTTATAGGCATGTGCTACCACACCCAACAGGATACACTGTTGAATATCCTCCCACAACTTCCTGTGACAAATTCCTCAAAGTTTCCTTTTATTATCTTTGGTCTGTCTGGCACAGGTGGCTAGCTTCTCTTCAGCTACTGGTTCCATCCACCTAGCAGCTCACAAATACAAGAATCCTATCATTAGGCTGGGCATGGTGGTAGACACCTGTAATCTCATCATTTAGGAGGCTGAGGCAGGAGGATTGGCAAGACTTCAAGGAAAGCCTAGGCTATGTAGTGAGTTCAAGGACACCCTGAACTACATAGCAAGACTGTCTTAAAAGAGACTCATCTTTCAATCCTTCTCAATTCTATAATCAGATTACTCTATCTTATTAATACTTGCTAAATCTCTGACATCCCTCTCCCTCAACATCATCCCTCATTCGCATCAAGAATAGCTTTCTAAGTAGTATTGCTTCTAGTATTGCTCCTCTCAAATTTAGCATTCAGTTCCTTGCAAATAAGTCTGAAATCACAGCATGACTTTCCTTCTTTTGAACTAAATTTCCATAGCCTTCAGAATGAACCTAAAACTTCTAAACTTGGTTTACAATCTGTGATTTAATTATTACTTCATTTGCCTTTATTCTAAATCTATGTGTTCACATGTGGCTATGAAGTATGTAAATGAGCTATTCCAAACTGAAATGGGCTACAATTTTGAAGAGGTAGTATAAAAAATGGAATATCACACATCTCAGTATTACCATACCACATTGATTGCATGAAGAAATAATATTTTACATATATAGGATCAAATATTATAAAAATGTATTCATTACTTTTTAAAATATGGTTCATTAAAAACATTTAAATTACATAGAAGACTTAGGTTTGTGCCCTGTATTGCAACCTGATGGCACTGGTAAAATATATCATTTCCTTCCGTTTGAACCTACTTAACTTGTGGATTATTCAAGAGTAGCTCAGATATCCCTCCAAGACTCTAGAACACCACAGTATCAAGAACCTAAGTCTGACCCCTCCTCTGTGTTTATATTCATAGGAACCTGTGCACACACCTATAGCAAACCACACCATACAGTAATTGCTGGTTATCAGCTATCATTTCCTCTTAAACTGCAGCTCCTTGGAAAAAAGAGCTATAGTTTTCCATATTCTCAATTCTATCACCATACCTGGTATGTAGAAGGCCAAGGACCATTTGTCAGACAAATGTGAACTACCTAGTCCCACCCTAGAAGTTAAAAGGAAAGCACCTAAACTTTACCAGGAGCTCTAGTAATAAAAAGACAAAGGGATAGGTTGAATAGGAATCACAATAAAGAGATCAACAAATGAGAAAATAGAGCTCGCTCATCACAAGCACACATACACGTGTATACACACACACACACACACACACACACACACACACACATGCCTCTAACAGTGAAAACAGGGATCTGTCACAGCGATGTGAAACCTTGAACCCCTCACTGGCATGCTGGGGCCACAGTTCTTTAAATTGTTTAAAAAATACATACAACAGGGGCTGGGGATTTAGCTCAGCAGCATAAGTGCCTGCCTTGCAGGCAGGCAGTCATTGAGTTCGATCCCTGGTACCAATAAAAAGGAAAAAGACAAAAAAAAAAAAAATACATACAACAACAACAACAAGAGTATGATTTGGCAGGTTAAAAGCAACTAGAGCCTAGCACCTGTTTCACTTAAGCAGAGCATCATTGCTGTTAAAAACAACAAATCTCTCTTGTGAAGGCAATGTTAATTTCATGATGCTTCACCATGGAGCCATTTAGAAGAGTTATTGTATGAAATGTGCCAATGAATTTATGGCTGATGCTTATTTGGCAAATATGGCTGGCACTGCTAGACGTCAAAAAGCATGTACACAAATAAGCAAATAAAACTTTTTAAGCTCTAAGCCTTAAATATTTACATTACCATAAATGTACTAAGATAATGTTTGTATGAGTATGCATCTCAGGAACACATCTTTTAATGTGCTTATCAGGAAATAGTTACTGAGTGGCATTATTTCTTTATGGGCCTCAGGATAGACACTTAAAAATGAATTCTGCTGGGGATTTAGCTTAGTGGCATAAGCGCCCACCTGGCAAGTGCAAGGTCGCGAGTTCAATCCCCACTACCAAAAAAAAAAAAAAAGAAAGAAAAAGAATTCTGACAGAATGTTAATGGAGTAAGAACATTACTGTGGAAGTTTCTCTGCACTAGCAGTGAGCAAAATGAACAGTCTTAGTATCTGAACAGTTTCAAGCAATCTTATCTGTTCCTCTCACCAAAACACTTCTCCCAACACTGAAATCCAAACATCAGTGTCAGCCCCTAAACAAGGGGGAGGGGGTGGTCACACATTAAAAGCTTTCAAGAAGATTCTGACATATTCCCCCACCATAATATAGTCACATTATTCCCTAAAGACAAAAGTATTTTCCTCTTCCCCTCCGTGAAGGGGGTTGTTTTTTCCCATAGTTTGTGAGTTCGTCTTTAGCCGCCTAACTCCATAGCAGAGGTATGAATTCTTCCTTAATTTAACCTCTACACTGAGGCTATGAGTTTCCATCTCCGAAGCTAAGAAAATGTACTGCACCTGCCATTATAGTTTACTAAATGAGCCACCAAAGAGAAAAGCCAGGCACTTCGAAAGTAATTAGAGTATTCAGCGAATTGAGCCATCCAGAAATGTTCTGAGATTACAAAAGGAGCCATCGTGAAGTGAAAATCAAGATTGCTCAGGAAAGTTTTACCCTTGTGGATAATTCACTTCCTTTTTTTTTTTCCACTTTCACACTGCAGGGAGCAATAAGGGTTCTCGCACTACACACATTACTACATCAATTCATTTATTAGGGAAAAAAAAGACACTGTGGCTGGGGTTTAAAAAAAATAGCAGGTAGGCCCCAAAACAGAATCCTCAAAGCAATTACAATTCAGATGAAAAGCTGCCCGCGTACCCTATCCAATGACCTAAAAATAGTCTTTTATGTAAGTCTCCAAAAATTTAATTCAATGTATAATCTCACCACATTCAACAGAAGCAGAAGAAAAACGTATTAGGTTTTCTATAGTAAGGCCAATAAGGATGAAATCATAGTTTTCCTCTAACTCATCACCATCATCGCCAGCCTTCCAACAACTCCATTCCACAGCTCTGATTCCTAAACTTGGATCTTAGAAAAGCAACGGATTGAGGAGTACCATGGGATGGGGAGGGCTCCTCTTTCCCGTCGCTGTCAGCAGTCTTTTACGGAACCAGAGGAGGAAAAAGAAACCCGGCTTCCAGACGAAGGACGCACACAGCGGGGACGCGGGATGGACGCGCTCCCCTCCCAGGGAGGAGAGAAAAGTTGCAAGGACGGATGCGTGGAAGGGTGAGGGGAGGGAACGGAGCCGCACCACTTAGACCCAAGCACCCAGCCAGCTCCCAACCAGCTCCCAGCCAGCCTGTACTAAGGGGGCTCAGTCTTGCCGCCGCCATCCAGGCTCAGCGGTTCACCAGGCTCGGGAACAGGGAGACTGCGTAGCCCTGGCAGCAAGAAGCCCTCCTGCCCCAGCCTCCCGCGCCCGCTCCAGGACTCACTCTCCCCGCGCCGCTCAACCGCGCCCGGGCGTCCCCGCCGCCGGTCTCAACTTTGCCTCATTTCGGGGGCACTGGGAGCCGGGACCAGGCGGGCGGACCCCGGGGGACGCGAGGCGATGGGCGAAGGCACGCTACAGACTGCCTCCGTTACCTGAGGGGCGCGCTCGCCGCCGCGGGGACCACCATTGCCGCGCGTCCGCGCTCTTCCTGCTGGCCGTGGCCGCGCTGCCGAGCGACTGACACTAACAACAAGTAAGTATTGTAACTCTCGCCGCCGCCGCGTCCGCCGCGCGCTCCCGCCCGCCGCCTGTCCGCCGCCCGCCCGGCCCACCAGCCCGCGCGCTCTCCCAGCCCCGCGCGCCGCCCCTTCGCGCGCTCTCGCCCGCCTTGGAGGGGCGAGCACGCGCGCGCGCACCGCCCTCTCCCAGAGCGCCCCTCAGTTTCAGGGACCCAGTCTCCACGAGGCCCCGCCTTCTGGCGTTCCAACAGGCGGAAGAAGAGACCTAGAGGGCACTTGATTGGCTGAGGGGCGGGTCCAGAGCGAGGGGGCAGGGCGATCAAGACCTAGGGCCCTTGTGAGGGAAAAATTTGGTTCTATTAAATACCAGAAGAGAAAAGAAGTTTTGGTCTATTTGAATATCGGATCTCCTTATGGAAGCCAGTCTCCAATACCGAATAGGCGCTTTCAAGTACTCCAGTACAGTATTTGGTAATTATCAAATTAAATTCTACTCTGCGGGCCTTTGCCATAAACACAAAACTACATCTCCCAGGAGGCTCTGCGACGTGCCTTGCGTCATCACATAGTCCTCCACCGCGCCGGAACAAAATAATCCCTTCGTTTTTCTGAAGGTATTGGGAGTAATATTTCACTTTTCTCCTCACCGGAGCCAATTTAAGTGTTATCGTGATCAGATAAGTTACGTGTCTGGGGTTTGTTAGCGATTTTGGTAAAGAAAAAGAAAGACTATCAAAATAAAATGCTGCGGAGTGATTCCTCTGGCGCTATGAGACGTCGAGTGTGAGAAGCAGCGGTGACTGAGAGGGGCTGAGGGAACTGTGCTCTGTCCAGGGCCTCGTATTAGCTCCTGGCCTCGGGTTATTGTGTCGTCTGCAGGTCAGTAGGCTCTGCGAGCTTGGGGGTGGCCACCATCGTGGTGTCCTTCGTCCTCTGACTAAAGATCATCGACTTGCTGTTGCTGATTTGTCTCGGATAGAGGCCGACTGAATGGGGGCGCCTCACTTCCGGTTGGGGGTAGGGAGGGATACCTCCTGGGGGAGGGGGGAACAGAACTCACTTCCTGCGGTGCCGGATGGTGATTTGGGGGTATCCAACCCACTTCCCGTGCTGGGGAGGGCCTAAAAAGCTGGTGCTGGGATCCCTCGCCAAAGACTGCCTCGCATAGCTTGAGAGTGTTTTCGTGTCAAAAGTGAGATTTTTTTCAGGACTATCATCAACCTGCAGGCTGAGTTACGTGTTAGGTTTCTACGTATGAGATGGAAAATTTCTTCCATAGCAAAATTTTCCTAATGCTTTCTTAAAAGAATACAAAATCCCTTGTTAAAATTCATTATAAAAGAACACAGTTTTTGGGTTTTTTGGTATGACTCACGAATTGCGTGCCACCCCACGTCTACCTTGATGGAGTTTTTGGAGTGACGTGCAGCAAGAACGCTAGATAAAAAGCATGGCCTTTTACCTAGAGGACTGATCACATAAATTACGGGGCATTTTCATCTTAGCTGAGAGCAAGTGTACGAAGTAGTCACATTTGGCGTTGCCTTAACTGAAGTAATTGGTCCCCTATATTCTTAGGTCTTTGGTTTTGAGGTTGCAGGTTTGACCTGAGAACAACTTCCTCAGCCTTAAATGTTCTTTCATGAGGCTGGTATGTAACGTTTGTGAAAGTTGTATTTTAGTACATCTTTTCCCTTTGTAGTTGAGTTAAATTGGCAGTGGTTTAAAAATTATTGCTGTCTGTTCGTTGTGGTTTTAAAGCATGATGCAGGGATCGTGAGCTTGGCCCACAAAAGACAAAAGATGAGTAAAAGAATTTACTTCCAGTCTTCTGTTGTATAAGGAAAGGTACGTGAATTGGTAATAAACACTCAATTTTGATGCCTTATCATTTGTCAAGTAGCAGTATGTGGGGTGTGTGTACTGAAGAATTTTGTTTGTTTGTTTGTTTGTTTTTGATACCAAGGATCAAACTCACAACCTCATGCTTACCAGGCAAGTGCTTGAGCCACTGAGCTAAATCCCCAGCCCAAGAATCAGTCTTTTTACAGTTCAACAATTGACATCTCAACAATTTCAGGATATCCACCATTTGTACCTAGAACTGCAATGTTTTTCAAAAATTATTGAAATTATAGTACCCGTGTATTTTTTCCTTGAGGTTCTTACTTAATTCTAGCCTCAGAATTTGTAGTTTTAATTCCAGTTAAAGATACATGGTTTAGAGTTTATTAGAAAACATTTCAAACTATGAAAATAAAAGTAATTTAACCTTATGTACACTTTTTTAAGGAATCATTCTAATGAGTTGAGGATGTAGCTCAGTGATAGAGCACTTGCCTACTGTTTGAAGACTTGGGTTCCATCCCAGGTCCTCGAAAAATCAGCCAGAGCCCCTAAAAGCAGTTATCTTTTAAAAGACCACAAAATTAGAGCAGCAGTTGAGTGAAAAGACAAGACTAAATAATGTCCCTGTTGTGTCTAACAGGGTTAGGGCATGAGGTTAGGGGCATGAGGACTGCCTCAAGTACCTATTAATTGACTAGAAAGTGTGCATTATCTTCTATATTAATGTAGTATGATGTTGACACTCTGGCAAACTAAATCGTAGTTGAGGAATTGTAGAACTAAAAGAAGAGAAAATGATACTAAAATGTTGATTGAGATGCAGTATACTACATTGCCTTTTTGGAAAGCAAGGAATTTATTAAATTGGTCCTCATAATACTTCACGAAGGCATGCAGTATAATAGAAATAAGAAAAATTGCTGCAGCCGAAAGCTTTGAGCAGCTTGAAGAATTATCTGTTGAGGAGAAAACAATACATAAAGTACATATCTGGAAGAAGACATTTTCTGACAAGTGACAGTTACTGGTTGGTTCCATCAAAGGAGAAATATTGTGGAAGCTTCTAAAAAACAGAGGGACGGGGGATTAGGGGTTTTAGCGCAGCGGCATAAGCGCCTGCCTTGTAAGCAGGCAGTCGTGAGTTCGATCCCCAGTACCGATAAAAAGGAAAAAGACAAAAAAATAAAAATACAAAAATAAACAGAGGGAGGCTGGGGATTAGCTCAGTGGCATAAGTGGCTTTTGCCTAGCCTACTCAAGGTCGTGAGTTCGATTCCCAGTACCAAAAAAAAACCACAGAGGGAAAGTCTGTGGATACTGTTTTTATTCTTTTTTAGTGTATCTGTGAAGAGGCTTGTATCCTGTCTTCCAAAAGTTTTTCAGGGTTCTTTCTTAATTCCCATTTGTTGCATTTTTCTTTTCATATCCTAACAAGAACATAGTGTCACAATTAGAAAAATAAAACTCTTGCTATTATACTGTTACTTCTTTGAGTTAATGATTTGAGATTTTTGTATCAGTACTTGCCATTTGTAATAAATTACCTGTTTTTTAGAGTAATTGGTTAGATTTCTTTTCCAGAAGCATTTTTTGAGTACACTGCTAAATTATAGATTCTGTCTCATTTAAGTGATTCTCTCAAGAGGTGCTATGCATTATGCCCTTTTCATTCTTTTGTCTGTCTTTGTAAAATCATGCTTATATTTTATATCTTACACGGTTTTTGCTTCTTGTTTTGGTGGTAATGGTTTGCCGTGGAATTGAGCATTAAATGGAGTATCCTAGTTAAAATGTTTTTTAAACTTACTGCTCTACTGTTTTTGCTTGACTACTTTAAAGAATATTCAATGGCCATGCATGATGATGCATACCTGGAATCCCAACACTTACCCGTAATCCCAGCACTCAGGAGGCTGAGGCAGGATGATGGTCGAGAGTTTGGGGTTATCCTGGGTTCCACCTTGACTTCAAGGCGGGCCTGAGCTACATAGGGAGATCCTGTCTCAAAAAACAAAAACAAACAAAAAAGAGTATTCAAATAAAAATTCCCTGTACATGTCTTTTCATAATTTCCACAAAATTTAGTTCTTGCTGTGTGACATTCACTTTCTAGGACTTCAAATACATAAATGCAGGCCAAATATCTATATTCTCTTGGTGTTTACTTCCCAGTTCAGAATACACAACTGGAATTGTGTTTCCCTGGAATTCCTAAGTGGTTGTATATTATAATCATTGTTCAGACCAGATCAGGATGTAGCCCTAATTTCGTTTCTTGGTCTTGATCTCTAAACAATTCTAAACATAAGAATATTTCTGCCTTTCCTCAGATCATGTAAGTCTGTATATTAAAGATTTAGCCCCTTTCATTTCTATATGTATCATGATACTATCGTTTGAGCTTGCTTTGAACTGTGTGAACAAGAGTGAACAGTACTGGACTAAACAGGTGACCAGACAGCCCTGGATTCAAAACTAGTCTTCATATTTTACTAGTTTGGTAATCCTGAGCGTCAGTCACCCTAAATCTAAATGGGGTGGTTTGGTGGAACAGTGATATTAGATGTAAATCATTGGCACAATCCTTGTGCTAGGAGCTCAATTAATGCTCCTATTTTACTCCTACTTTTGCTTCAGTCACTCTGATTATTGAGAATTGCCTACCTGTCTGCTTTAAGTCTTACATATTCCCAAAAGCATGATATATAGTGATTGCCTATTAGGATTTTGCATTGTGTTCCATCAGCATACTCATTAAATCATCAGGATTTTATTTTTTGTTTCTTTTAGAAAGAAGAAATCACTAATTTCCATGATTACTTTAGAAAATATACACAGAAGTTTCAAGAAAAAATTAAATCATCCAGGGATTTGAATTGTTATAGGAAGGCTTTTAATAGTTTTTCTTAAATGTATTTAAGCACTAAGCCTCTGTACTCCATGACCCTACTCAAGAGCCTTTACACTGATTGCATCTTTTATCACCCAAGTATATATTCCAAACAGAATGATCTCTGGAAAACAGTATGAAATGTACCTCACCTCTCTCAGTTTGTGTTATCCTCTGTCTAAAATACTTCCTTATTCCTAGGCATCCCCATCTATCAAATGCTGCCTTTAAGACCCTTTCTCAAGTATTATCTTCAAGAAATATTGTCCTTTTTCCACTATCCCAAACAATATATGTTCTTTTCATTGATTCTTCAGAATATTTTATATCACTCTTACTGCAATTAATATTCAGTGCTCCTGCTATTTTTTATTATATGTAGTTTATATACTCCCATAAAAGACTATAGACTATATGCTTTTCTTCTCTGGTTCTACCATCATTCCTGAAGCAATTCTGTTCACATTGTAGGCATTCAGTAAAAATGTGTGGAGCTGAACTTGTACGTGGACTATGATGAATCTGATAAGTAACTTTTATCTGCTACTTCACTCAGCCTCAAGTATAGTGATCAGCTTATAATAGACACTCAAATGCCTGAAGAATAGGAGTATATAAGCCATCATTCTCTTTATTTTTAACTAAGGTGTAAGTATATTAACAACACCTATATTAAACATCTATTATATGATTATACCATGAAATCTGATAGCTGCCTTCAATTTAATTGGAAAGAAATAAATAAATTATAAATAATGTGTGTTTGACTCAAGAAGACAAATGTTTCAGTAGCAATGGAATGGCGAGTTCAGTACTTTGAGTTTTTGCATTGTTAGAGATATCCCCTGCTGTCTGAACTCAGAAACCAAGTAGATTTTGATATCATTTATATGGCTACTTTACAGTTATATTTGCACTACTGGGTGTATCTTGAAAAGAAATGAACATGTTTACAGTGTACACTTGTATGCAAATGTTTGTAGTGGCATAATTTGTAATTGCCAACTAATAGAACTGCAGTGTCCATCAGTTGAATGAATAAGCAAAATGTAATATAGCAGTGCAGTAGAATATTGTTTAACTATCAAAGTAGTAATATATGCTGTAACATGGATGAACACTGAAATAATTACACTAAAGA